TTATAATTTAATCTGTCGCACAAGCGCTATAGCGCTTGGTTTGTAAGTGAAAAAGAAAGTTATTATATTTCTTTACATACATTGCATGATATGGATTCATGATCACCACCCTAATTGTATTAAAGATGATTATCAATTTATCTTGAAAAACGTGGTTTAACGGTACCACACTAGGATATTTTTTTATTTGGAGATCTAAGCAATATGTAGTTGGTCCACTAATAACTTTGTGTTCTGTTTGCCTTCTAAACTGAGACATGCTTGTGGGTTGTTTTATGATTGATTTAAAAGTTATAGGTATCATATGATAAATTTAAATGTGTATGAATTCTAGATTTGTTTCTTTTTATGAGCGGTTATAGAAAAACTTGATACAAATATTTTGTTACATAGTTAAGACGTTTCAAACTGAAGAAGTATGACTGCTAAAGTCAAGCATGAGAAGGGAGACCTAAGACAGTGTTTGTCTTGTAAACTAATTGTTTGTTTGAAAGATGTCCAGTTACATAGTTCTTGCTGTCCAAAAACATATGACATACCGGAAAATAAAAGTTTTAATGTATCGCAAAACTTAGTGGTTCCAGAGAAAGGGAATTCAAATTTATATGGTTTTATTAAAAATGCTGCTTTGTATGCTGTTGTGAAGGAGCTACCAAAGAAAGGTGTGTGTTATTCACTTATTGTTAATTTCAAATTTTTACAATTACAACTTGTAGTACAAGTAGAATCCAGAATATACCATTGTTACAGTTTAATATCAATTGAATGTTTAAGATTTTAATAATCACGTTTTTTTTGTCCCTATAATATAATGATAATACCTTTTGCAAAAAAATAGGGGGTTTCTACGTGTATAGTTTTATTTTACAATAATTTATATTGAAACTCCTTTTCCACCTTCTGGTCCATTAACAAAGAATGTTAAGGTCCATTTGGATAAAAGAAGCATTCTCAAATATTTCAATTATGGCCAGCATTTTAATGATATTGACCAGCAACAATGGAAATATCACTGTCCAAGAATTTAACCAAATCATTGATATAAGTTATAGCTATGGACTATACATATTCCAAAACCAACCCTAAAGTAGAAGGTATAAACTAGTCAAATTTTTCTTATTGGTAAATAACAGATTATCACAGTTCTTTTTATGCTACGTTGTAACTTTTCCAAGAATTTTTACATAAACCTTCAGTTTACTAACTTGTGTGGCACCTTGTGAAATTCAAACACTTTTTGAAAGTCAAGATATACTGTATGAGCTGAGTGGCATACACGGTACAGTGTGATTTGGATTGATTGGCAATACTTTACTACTACTGGAGGCCAGTACTTTACAGGGGTTCATGAGAGGAATCAAATATTTCATTAAAAATAAAGGATGCATTTAAATTTTTACTTTTCTTGAAGATGGGTATGCAAAGACAACCTTGAAGAACCAGAATGGCTTCTTCTTGTTCATATATTATGTTAATCGTGACTGAAGAAAAGCATCTTAGTATAGTGGGGATGATAGGGTTCAAATCTGTTAATTTGTTTTTTCTGGAGAAAAGGAGGTTTAGTGGTATTATCTAAGTTCATAAGATTATCTGGGAGGTTGATAAGACAAAGATCTTAGATTTCTTTATGCTGTATCCTGATGATGGTAGAATGAGAAAACACAAGGTTGGCTCCAGCTAAGGCTCTTGTATTTTTCTAACAGGATTATTCATTAGTAGTAGTGGGGTCTGGCACATTGTGGGGGTTTAAAAGGATAACAGATGAGTTCCTGAAAAATAAATGGTGGATTTAAAATCTTTATTTTTAGTTTTCTTTCTTTAGGTGCAGATGCACAAGGATAGCCTTGAAAGGCAAAATGGACCCTTGTTGGCTGTATATATTATATGCTTGTTGGGTTTAGCAGGTGGAGAAGACTACCTCAGTAACTTGTACATCTGATCTTCATTAAATCAGGATAAATCCTTTCAAAACTTAAGATTCACTTCATAGAAGATTTCGAAACTACTTCTTCTTCAACAAAATTATAAATGAAAAGAGATTTCCTTCAATATTTAAATAATTCAATTTACCTAAGAATCTCTTATTTTTCAACTGTAGAACCACGACTGAAGAACTAGTTACACACTTCAACCATAATCCGGTACTTAATAATAAGATTCACATTTTTAAAGAATCGGTAATATAAAATCACTTTCTGCTTGAAGCTACTGAATTGAAATTATTTGTTAAATACAATACATCTTTATCAAATTCTGCTGTTGGAGGATTTAATTAGTAACATTTAAATTTAAAGTTACTGAATTAAGTGTTTGTATGTATATATTTTTATGTATTTTGCCACTCTTGTCATAGTTATATATATATTTAAGTCACTTAAGTATTACAAAATGTCTTACAAATTTCTAATTTCTTTCAAACCATGTAGGGACAGAATATTGTCTTAAGAAATTATTTTAACCCCTTATAAATGTAGCTTCATCAGTTAGAACTTTGCAATGTTCCCATATTATATATGATATTCAAAATATAGTAGAACTGAGACACAACCTGAGTTAAACAAGAAGTCTCCATGCAGTGATTAATAGCATAATGTATACAAGTATTTGTGTTACCTTTTCAAGTAAGGATGAAAGGTTTCTGTTTCATTTATTTAAAGACTTAATTATGTCATTTCAGTAATTATTTGCTGTTTAATTCATGTATATATTACTTATGTACATAGTTTTGTTTTTCAGAAAGACCTAAGCATTTGCCAGCAGTTATAGCTCGTAATGTCATTACTTGTCACCCTGCTGCTATGAAACTATGTGAGATATGTATAGGAGACAGAGTATTGGTAACAAACTACAATACCACAAGTCAGCAGCTACATTATGCTTGGCCATCTTATTCTCTTCCTCCGACTTCTGTTTCATTTGGAAAAGATGCTTGTGAAAGTTATCAGTTTGGACAAGTTGTTGGAGTTCGTGCCTATAAGAGAAAACTGTTGAAAGCAGCATCTGTCACCCTTCTTCCAATTGGTGGAAGCTACGAACTATCTCATAATGACAGTTTCTTGAGGACATTTCTGCTTCAGATCTGTAAGTAAGAAACTGTTACTTAGAACTTGATGTAATTGAAACCAATATCACATTGATTTAGCTTTCATAAGTAACATGTATATGTTTGTATAATATATAGCTTATCAATAGATAAGTGAATATGCATATCTGCTTTTCTGTATACAGACACAACTTAGGGTTACTCATCTTCTTTGAAATGTTTTTAACTATACCTAATTTCAAGATGAAGAATTTCCATCACTACTTGCTCACCTGTGGAAAGGATAGAGAATTTCCATCTGTACATGGTTATCCATGGAAAGGATGAAGATTTTCCATCAGTACATGTCCACCTATGGATGAAAAATATCCAGAAATTCTGAGTATATTTTTATTCAGAGCATGCTATTTTTACAGTAAAATTCAGTCATGCACCCCCCCTCCTCACACACACAGGGATTTTGCTTCACCCTGTGTATACATACAAAGTGACAGATGATTAGTGGCTTAGATTTATTCAATAAAGGGCATGAGATGTGATTACATGCATAATTTTCTCTATTTGAATGACATCTTCTATAAGATTACAGATTAAAAGGATGGACAATAATTGAAGGGGAGAAAATGGGGAGAAGAATAAAAGAGGTCGAACAAAAGTCTAGTTCAAGGTTATAGTGAACATATATTTTTTAAGATGTTAATTTTGAAATTATGTATTTAGTTTGTTTTATTATGTGTCCTTGTTATGTAATATCTTGTGTCACCGTGTTCAGCCATATATTTCTTTAAGACTTAAAGAATAGAAAACCTTGTAATATTACACATAGGAAATGGTTAAGTGTCTGAGCTCAAATGGTATGTTTTAATGGAGTTCATATCCTCGGAATCAATTTCATTTTTTAACTTTGGAAAATTATGAAAGTATCCAAAGAACAAAAATGCAAGTAAAATCATCAACTATAATATATATAATCTAATATCATCAACTATAAGATACATAATCTAAAATCATCAAGTATAATATATATAATCTAATATCATCAACTATAAGATACATAATCTAAAATCATAAACTACAATATACATAACCTAAAATCATAAACTACAATATATATAATCTAAAATCATAAACTACAATATATATAATCTAAAATCATAAACTACAATATATATAATCTAAAATCATAAACTACAATATATATAATCTAAAATC